ATTGATTTCGCAGACCAAACAGATGTCATAACTTTCTCTAGTTTATTTGATCGAACCTCACCCTCAATTCTTGTGTTCATCCTTCGGGATAGATACAAGATTTGAGGTAAAGCGCTCTTTCATTTAAACTATGAAAATTATGGGGTCAGTTTGACTTCATCTTTTTTAAAATTAAAATTCTTTTTAATGTTCTTCCGAAGCGGGCAACGGGATTTCAATTCCGATGACCGACAGCTTCTTACGGGCAAACCCCACACCAAAAATAGTGTCGACGCATATTTTCTTGCTTCTTCCACGGTTGTTATAGCTTCTCAATCGTATGAAATTTTTCTAAGGCTCGTAGCTTTCTGAGGTTTTACAGTGGAGACCCTCTTGGCTTGTCTTTCAACGACATGGTAGCTTCTTAAAGGGTCTTGCCTTCTGGGCTTGATTTTCAGTGGCATAGTTGAAAGCAGAATCCATTGAGGATGTAGGACCAGTTCTGAGTTGTGTAACCGGAGATGATCGACAGTTTTAACTTGTTATGAACAAAGTCATATGAAATCCACTTAGGATGGTTGACCTATCCTAGGTTTTTGGTCGATGCTTTTGCTTGACGACTGTAACATGTTATGGAAGATGTCGAAGGAAATCCACAAAGGATTTTTGACCCATCCGAAGCTGTACGTTGAAGCTTTTGCTTGACAACTGTAGCCTGTAATGAAAGAGGTCGTAGCAAGTCCCGCGGGGATCGATTAATCCTATAATGAGGTGTCAGATATGCTCTGCGTTTCTCGATACAGTGGTGTAGGTTGCAATGAACTATATGTTTTCTTGAAAATATGGTTGCAGTCATACTCAAGAAAAATGTTTGACAACTTGTCAGTTGTTGCTTTTGAATCTTTTGCCCCTCAGAGGAGGCGTTTTCCATGTGAGCTTGTAAAATAGCTTATGTATGGAGCCTTGAAGAGACCAGCTTCCTAATCTAGTTGAAGAGGAACTTCAATTCGATGAAGGGTGCTGAGGAAGTATTATTTGCGGTGAAGACTTCCTCCCAGTACATGAGCTACTTCATAGGCTTGTAATCTGAATGAAATATGAGATGACTTCCCCACCAAAATCGTGCCCGAGACGTTGACATGAAAGACCTTTTGAGACTGCAGTGAAAATTTACCCCCCAGCCTGGAAGAATTTGTGATATACTTTGGGTCTAAATAAGATGCGAGAAGAAAACTTCACTACAATCGTGCCTGGGTCATTGAAATGAACGATCTTTCGAGATTGCAGTGAAGGTTGCCCCCCACATTGAAGAATGTTTTGGAGATGATCTTCAAGATGCAAAGAAGATTCCTTTGCCAATTGGATGATCTACATCATTGGGAAATGAAGTAGGGGCTCGGTGTCTTAGAGGTTCAAGACAATGTCGAACGGGACGGACTTCGTTTCCCACAGACGGCGCTAAACTTATGCGTGCCAGAAAATTCGCGACGATAGAGTAATAGATTATCGTCTTAGCGACGAGGATTCATCACACACTTAGATGAAAAGAAATCAAACTGTAATGACACCAAAAGTTTTTACGTGGAAAACCCGTAAAGGGAAAAAACCACGGGGTCTGACCCAATTATAAAAATTCACTATAAGTTGATAATTACAGAGGCCCATTGTCCCACAGACGGGAAAGTGTTACTAGATTTTCCTAGGTTCAACGTCGACTGACGACATTTGATTAGCGGTGGTCGATGACGGTCAACGGTGGTCGACGACGGTCGCTGGTGGTCGATGGCGGCCGACAGTGGTCGACGACGATTGACGATGACAAAGATGATGTTGGACTTGAACTTCTTCTCAAAGCCTCAAGTTATCTTTCAAGCCCCCCTGCCTCATGTGAGGGGTGGGGCTCTATTTATAGTGTTCTGGGTACAATTAATGTAGGAATATAAACCATTTTGATTTGACGGTTCGGAGAGCTTCCATCGATCGGATGACGTTTGATGGACATTTGAGTGCCTTAATGATGTCCGGATTGAATAATTTTGCGCACGTTAGATTTGTCTTGTCGAGACGCTCAATTCGAGTATAAACTTGTCATATTCGACAACAGTTTGATCTTTCAAATGTGTCCGAAAATCATCTGAGTGTGGTTCAATGAGTTGATCTGGGCTTGATTTGACTCATATTGGGCTAGTTTTTATATCATTAGGTCCGTTTCACAAAACCGGTCAGTTTGAGTATACGTTTGCTGAAATCGGAGCTATGGATGGCATTTTATCAAGATTTGAATGTTTCATAATTAAAATATCATCTCGAGATTCATGTCAGACGATGAAAATTTTTTGGTGACATATCAATCATATATACTCAACGAATGAATGTAGATGAGCAAAAAGAGTGCTCAACGATGCATTTACATTTACTTGGAGGTTCCTATTGCGGCTTCGTTGCCTTTTTGAATGGGGCTTCGTTTCTAAGTTAGAGATGATGGGAGGTTCATGAAGGGTAAGGGTTATGATTATTAGGTGTGTTAAAGTTTATAAAATTGAATTTTAAATTAATTGTAATACTGAATATTAATTTTTTAAATAAATTAATTTAAGTTTTTTAACTATAATTAATTGATTGTAGTTAGAATTGAGAAAATAATTTACTTACAATTATTAATATAAATAAAATATTAACTGAATTCAATAAATATTATCTTTATTTAAATTGACTAAATAAATTTAGCTTGTATAATAGTGATTAATAACTAATTAAAAATTATCCCATGCTGATCATGATTCTAACTATTCTAATTAAAATTAATATTGAGGATGAAAATGCTCCCACTTTCACAATTTATAAATAGACCTTCTTGTTGAAAAAGAAGAGAAATGACCTAATTTGAATGTTGTTCTAGATTGATGACTCGGCGATAATTGTCGGAGTCAACCATCGTCGGCCACCGTCTACTCGTAGTCTTCGTTAGACTCTATTAACGAAGTATACTGTTGAAAAATGAAGGACTCTATTGGGTAACAAAATACCTATGTAACAAAACAATAATACTTAATTTTATGTTTGAAACAATTAATAAAATCAGTATTTATAATAGTTACTGAATTCTTTGAGTCTTTCTCATCTCTAAAGTGGTCAAATTTGACAAATCGATGAAAGTAAAACCCTAAACCCTCTCCACCCATGGGAAGAAGACGATGGAGGCCCTCCTTAACCCTAGCCAATGCTTCTTCCCCTATCTCCCACCTTCTCGTTTCAACGCAGAGACCGTTTGGTTCCTCCGCAGCCGCCGTCGCTGTCACCTCCGAATCCTTACCCACCCCGAGTCCCACCTCCCATCTTCTCTCCGAGGTCTCCTCCATCCTTACTCGCCGCAGCTGGCACCGGAGCCTCGTTTTAAGAAAACTGGCTTCATCTCTTACCGGCCATCATGTCGCCGAGCTTCTCCAAGGCCTCAGCTGCGACCTAAATAAAACCCTAGCATTCTTTCAATGGATTGGCATCAGGCCGGACTATAGCCATACCGTTGAATCCTACGAAGCCCTCTTCAGAATTCTCTTAAAATCCAAATTTTCAATCAACCTGTACAAGTTGGTAATCTCCATGCTCAAATCATCCGCCTCCTCGGAAGATGCGCGCAGGGCTTTTTCGGTAATCAAAGAGCTGAGACGTTCAGTGAGCGGACGGCATGGTTTTGGTGTTAAATTCGAGCCGTCGCTCTGGATTTATAATCTTCTGCTGAAATCCATGGCGAGCTTCAGATTGATGAGTGAGGTGAAAGAACTGTTTCGGCTGATGCTCAAAGATGGGATTTTTCCAAATAATTTTACTTATAACACCATCATCAAAGCTTATTGCGATGAAGGAAATCTTGCAGAGGTGAAGAAGTATATTAAAAATTTATCGGATGCTGGATTGAACCCAGATTCTTTTACTTACAATTCTCTAATATTGGGGCTTTGTAGGGATAATGATTTGGAAATGGCTTGCTGGGTCTTACTGATGATGCCAGAAATGGGATGCAGGAGGAATGTATATTCTTATTCAATTATAATTCAAGGTCTCTGTGAGGCCCATCGGATCAAGGAAGCCTTCTTCTTCTTCTCCAAGATGAAAGATGACCGTTGTCCCCCAAACTTACACACTTACTCAATGCTCATTAATGGGCTCTGCAAGGAAGGAAAGCTTGCGGTTGCAGAGAAATTATTGAAAGAGATTTTGAAGCAGGATTTCCTTCCTAACACGGTGACATATAACACTTTGATTGATGGGTACTGCAAGGCTCAAAGGATTGATTCGGCTTTCAAAGTGAAAGAATTGATGGAATCAAATGGATGCAAAGCAGATGATTATACTCATTCAATCTTGATCAGTTCTCTCTGTAAGGAGAATAAGCTCGTTGATGCAGAATCCATGCTTGAAACAGCCATTAAGAACGGTTTGAAGTTCAATGCATTCCCATATACTTGCTTGATTGATGGATATTCTAAAAGGAGAAAATTTATCGATGCTATTCGTGCTCTAAATCTTATGAAATTTAATAATTGCAAGCCTGATATTTATGTTTATTCTTCTCTAATCAATTGTTTGTGTAAGGAGAATAGACTTGATGATGCTAGGATGATGTTGAATACAGTTCTTAGTGAAGGGCTCGTTCCAACTGTTGTTACTTTCAGTCCCTTGATTGGTGGGTTTTGTAATAAAGGAAATATAAATGCTGCACTTGAAATTGTAGAGCTGATGGAGTCAAATGGGTGCAAAACAAACTCTTGGATTTATAATTTGTTGATGCAAGCATTTTGTCAAAGGAGAAATGTGCAAAAGGCGATGGCTTTGCTACGCAAAATGCAAAATGATGGGTTATCTCCTAATATTGTTACATATACGGTACTAACTCAAGGACAGTGCGATGAAGATGAGATCGAGAGTGCCTTTATGCTGGTTAAATCGATGGAGTTTAATGGTTTCATTCCTGATGAGCATATATATTCGATTCTAATAGATTCGTTATGCAAGCATGGGAGAACTGAGGAAGCTATTTTACTCTTTCACTCTTTGAATGGTAAAGGTGTAAGAACGAATGAAGTGATCTATAGTGCGCTTATAGATGGGTTATGTAAAGGTGGAATGATCGATATGTCTCTTTCTCTTTTTGACAAAATGGTTTTTGAGAACTGCTTGCCCGACACATACACGTACAGCTCTTTGATAGATGGTTTGTGTAAAGCGAATAAACTGAACGAAGCATTGTCGTTAGTCGGAGATATGTTGAAGAGGGGGATAGAGCTTTCAACCACAACATATACAATTCTTATTGATAATAGATTGAAAGAAGGGGACTATGAAGGTGCCAAGAGACTGTTGGATGAAATGTGTTATTTGGGTTATAAGCCTAATGCTGTGACATATACCATGTTTATTCGTGCCTATTGCGGCGAAGGAAGGATGGAGGAGGTGGAAAATGTCTTTTCTGAAATGAGAAAAGCAGCAGTTTTACCTGACTTGATTACATACACCACCTTGATGGATGGTTATGTAAATTTAGGATTTACGGATCGAGTTTTTTGTTTGCTGAAAGAAATGATTGATTCTGCATGCCAACCCGATTACTTTACTTACTTTGTTATACTAAAGCATTTATATATGAGAAAGGTGACTAATTTTAGTGATAATGACATTAGTGATATGTGGAAAGTAGTGAAAATGGACATCATTTTGGAGCTTTTTGATGAGATGGTTGGACATGATTGTTGTCCTGATATTGTCACTTATAATGCCGTTATTTCGGGCTTTTGCAAAGAAGGAAGATTGGAAGAAGCTAATTTGGTGTTTACTCAGATGAAAGAACGAGGCTTGTCTCCAGACGAAGATACGTATACTTTTCTCATTAATTGTTTCTGCAATTTGAAGATTTACGATGAGGCTTCTTCATGGATTGGCTCTATGATTGAATGTGGTTATCTGCCGCGTATAAGGACCTATCATCTTCTTCTAAGAGGGCTTTGTGAAGAGTGTAAGTTTGAGGAAGCTAAAGTAAGGTTCCATGAAATACTTGGATTGGGTTATAATTTTGATGAAGTTGCATGGAAAGTTCTTATAGATGGGCTAATGAAAGAAGGATTTGCTAATGTGTGTTCTGATATGTTCTCTATTATGTTGGAGAGGCGCTGTTGTCTTGGTTCGCTGACACATTCTCTGTTGAGTGAGAGTTTATCTCAAGCGTCGAATGAGGAAAAAGAGCAGTTTGAGTCTTCAAGGTAGCTTGTTTCCTGAAAAGGGAAGGAGATATGTATGATGGCTGGTTATGTTGCATTGAAAGCTGAATGATGCTTATCTGGTGTAGCAGGCAAGTCATTTCTTGTATCGATTTTTTTGTTTGCGTATTAATCATTTAATTTTTTAAAATTTTTATTTTAAAAGTATCTTAAATGATGATGATGATGATGATTATTATGATTATTATTATTATTATTATTTGATATGTGGAAACTAGTGAAAATGGACATCATTTTGGAGCTTTTTGATGAGATGGTTGGACATGATTGTTGTCCTGATATTGTCACTTATAATGCCGTTATTTCGGGCTTTTGCAAAGAAGGAAGATTGGAAGAAGCTAATTTGGTGTTTAATCAGATGAAAGAACGAGGCTTGGCTCCAGACGAAGATACGTATACTTTTCTCATTAATTGTTTCTGCAATTTGAAGATTTACGATGAGGCTTCTTCATGGATTGGCTCTATGATTGAATGTGGTTATCTGCCGCATATAAGGACCTATCATCTTCTTCTAAGAGGGCTTTGTGAAGAGTGTAAGTTTGAGGAAGCTAAAGTAAGGTTCCATGAAATACTTGGATTGGGTTATAATTTTGATGAAGTTGCATGGAAAGTTCTTATAGATGGGCTAATGAAAGAAGGATTTGCTAATGTGTGTTCTGATATGTTCTCTATTATGTTGGAGAGGCGCTGTTGTCTTGGTTCGCTGACACATTCTCTGTTGAGTGAGAGTTTATCTCAAGCGTCGAATGAGGAAAAAGAGCAGTTTGAGTCTTCAAGGTAGCTTGTTTCCTGAAAAGGGAAGGAGATATGTATGATGGCTGGTTATGTTGCATTGAAAGCTGAATGATGCTTATCTGGTGTAGCAGGCAAGTCATTTCTTGTATCGATTTTTTTGTTTGCGTATTAATCATTTAATTTTTTAAAATTTTTATTTTAAAAGTATCTTAAATGATGATGATGATGATGATTATTATGATTATTATTATTATTATTATTATGATGATTATTATGATTATTATTATTATTATTATTATTTTGTTTTATATTCTAAGATTTCCTGCAATGGAGGCACTTTCTGCACCTGATTGAGAATTGGCACCTTTAAACTGTAGTTCCATAACGTTGTAGGTTCTACAAAATTTAGATATTATCTTCTTTACTTGTTACTGGTTAGTTGATGTAGTAAATGGACTATACATGTCAAAAGTTTCTTAAAAACTGAATCTTTTCTCAAGTAATAGGCGTGTTTCAAGTCCCACCAAATTAATTTCTCACACTATGTTTTATTTCAGGAAAAAAGCTCATTTTTCTAGAAGCTTGGATTTTATGTAATTTTCTGGATTTACTTCAAAGGGATGGTAGTTTTCAGATTTTAAAATCATGCAAAAATCTTCAATCCATTCATTTGCAGAATCACAAGAGTATTCCTTACTGTAAAAATCCACCAAATAGAAATACGATGAACTGATAAATTAATAATGAAGAGACTGCGTCAAAAATAACTCGAAGATTCATGTAATTTAGCCAAAATAATAGGTTGCATTTACAAAAGAGAAGAGGGGATCCACTATGTTGCAGGGAAATTAAATTGGTGTGCATATAGAATTGGTTACAAGAAAATACTCTTCTCCTAACACATACTTACAATGTCACTAGAAAACAGTCTCCGAAAAATATAAAGTATTTTATGTATTTTAACACATACTTACAATGTCACTAGAAAACAGTCTCCATCTTGTAAGCCCTATTTCAACCCAATTAATCAAGCCCACACGAAGCCATCAATCCCATTAAATCAATTGAACCCCCTTTTTTATAGAGTAGGGCAGTTAGAGCCATTATTAGGCTTTCCTCGTCGTCGAGGTTGCTGGTTCCTCCTATGAGTTTTTCAATGGATAGAAGCTCCCAACTCAAATAATCTCAACTAGCATAAAGCCAACAAGCCCATCAAATTGTGCACAATATTTTGTTCTTTTAATTGATATAGGCCTCATTTAAATCTTAATAATTAGACCCACAAAAAGTTATCAAGCTCTATAAAGTGAATTAAATCATTCGGGCCATTTTACTTATAGGATGGCTGGAAGACCGTTATCGAACTTATCTCTGCTTTGAGAATGTAATCCCCATTTATGGGCATTCAAATAAATGTAATCTCTATTTCAACCAAATACTTGAGATGACAAAACTATTAACCCAATCAAACCAACATATATTGTTGGATCACTTTACCTATAGTTTAAGGTAGTACATCCCATCATAAGGAGAAAATATTCTGCGCGTAAACCAGACGTACAATCGACGGCGTGGCATTGAAAATATTCTACATTGTCAGATGCATGGCATGGGGTGATCCATTGTCCAAACGACGAACGTAATATTTTCTCCATCATAAGGGCCTTCTTTTGTTCAAAATATGGTAAGCCCCGCTTAAGGACCTTTCCGCGGACTTAAGTCTTGCTTGTTTGTCTACCAATGCATGTAAGCCTCATCTTGTTCAATTTTGATTAGCTTAAATCTAAGAAACTCGTTAAATTAGAACTTATGCCTACCATCCTAAACTAAATAAGGGTTGACCCCCTTGCTAAGAAGTCCATTAATTGAAATCAAACTCATCAATAAAATCTCATATATGTCTTAGACATGCTTCTTTGAGTCAAACTATAACTCTTGAAACATTAATAGTGATGCAAGCGTCCATGTTGTGTGCCTCTGAAATACTAAGTCTAAATATGGATTTTTCATAAATTTGTGTCCAGTGTCCAATTAAAATTACTCAAAAAAATCCTTTTGTATTTACATATCTCACTCATAAACTTTCATATTTACATATATAGCTCTTTAGTGTCATAATCCCGCACTTGATAAGGTACATATTTTTTATGTGATATTAAAGATTTAAGTGTTGTGTATTTAAACATGAAACTTTAAGAGTGAGATATAAAAAAAAATAAGAATTGTGTGATATGAATGCAAAAGCCCATAGTGGATCTCCAGCCTGGCCATGGGGTCCTCAAGGTGCCTCACACCGCGAGCCCATTTCATTCAGACGCCTTAGCAAGCGACGCATGCAGAGTACTATAAGTCCATTTATCTCCTCTTTTACATTATTAAATCAAGTTTAACTTTGGTTTAGTGATATTTAATGTGAAAGACTTTCAACATATTTTAAAATCTGATTTTTTAATTCTCTCAAGCTGCTATTATGTAGTTTTGTTTTGTTTTTTTCAACTATTTTTATTCTGATGCAATTTTGTTTGTAGTGGAACCTCTCCTTTCTTTGATGCTTCCCATTTTGAGGAGGATGTGGTGACATGCTCACTCGGCATTACTATTGCATGCTCCGGCGAGATGATGCATGTATGTTTGTGTGACATGGGATCAAATTTCGTGTTCGAGTATTGGAATTACATATCGTAGAAAGATTGGAAGGATCATGTTCGTTGTAATTCTTATCAAATGATTTATTGATGGAGATCGTTTAACGGCGATGTTCTTTGATCACATTGTTAAAATTGAAGAGAATGTCCTCGGGTGTTCGTAGGTGCGAACGGAAATGAATGACATGTGAAGGAGATCAAGGTTCATAAAGTTGGATTATAAGTTGGATCGTTTAACGACAATGTCCTTTGATCACATTGTTAAAATTGAAGAGAATGTCCTCGGGTGTTCGTAGGTGCGAACGAATACGAATGCCATGTGAATGAGATCAAGGCTCATAAAGTTGGATTATATGTTGGATTATTCGATCAAACTTTATGTTATAGTAGCTTGAATTTTGGTATTTGTGTAAATAAGTTTGTTTTAAAAGTTTTAGTTTGTGATTTTTATTGTTTTTTGTTGGAATTATCTTTTTTAGATTGAATTTCTCTGGATTGGTATTGTAGATGGGTGTTTTCCATTTGAGAAAGTTACAAATGTACCACACAGTTCTTATGAATTTACAAATTTAACACCTAAAGTTTGATATTTACATTTATTCCGCTTTGGTGTTTTAAACTTCTGCATACAAATGTGTAGAAATGTTTGTTTCAAAAGTTTTAGTCTGTGATTTGGATAGTTTTTGTTGGAATTATCTTTTTAGTTTGAATTTCTCTAGATTGATATAGTAGATGGGTGTTTTCTTTTTGAGAAATTTACATATCTACCACAAAACTCTTATGAATTTACAAATCTAACACCTCAATTTTGATATTTACATTTATTTCACTCTGGTCCTATAAACTTCTGCATAAAAAATGTGTATTTGACTTTTAGAATGCAAGTAAAACCCGCATTTTTGATGTGATGTTAAAGATTTGAGTGTTATGAATGTAAATATAAAAGTTTAGCTGTTAGATATGAAAATACATGAGAATTTTGTGATATGCATACAAATGTCCTTTCTTGTTTTGGTTTGAGTTTGCTTACGACTGTATCAAATCCTTATTAATATTGTAATTGCCTATTTAATTGTTTGATTTTTTTAATATGAAATTCGCACCGTACCACTTTTACGTTTGGCAAAATTATATCTTGCATATTTTTTTAGGAAATTGTGGCGGACAAGTTGCATCTTATAATCTGACTCGGTTAAGTGTTTTGATTGTGATGTCGGATAATTACGGTCTGACTTTTTAAAATAAAAAAAAAAATTAAAATAGCCGCCG